AACCTCAAACTCCTGGTTTCAAGCAATCCTTTTGCCTCAGCAGAGACTACAGGCATGAGGCCTAACACTCAACTAATTTTTCTATATTTATTAGAAATGGGTTCTTGATGTTGCTCAGGCTGGTCTCTAATTCCTGAGCTCAAGGGATTGAAAGTGCTGGGATTTACAGGCATGAGTCATCATGCCTGGACAATTTCAATTAATTTAAATAGCCAGAGGTGGCTAATGGCTAAAGTGTTAATGTAGAACTAGAGTACATTCCAAATACTTTTAACATTCTAGGTAATAAATAGGGCCTGGTTTCCAAACTTTTTGAGAAAAAAAAAGTTTTATTCAAACACACACACACAGAAACCTAAAAATTAAGATATAGCTAAAATCAGAAGCCCCACAGCTAAAGGGGGGAGGAGGTGCAGGGGCTGCTTCTCCCCTTCACCCTGTTGGGGCCTCTGTTGGAACTTTAGTCCTCCAGAGAACACATTGAAGCTTCTAACCTACCTACCACTAAGCAACATAGATTGTTGAGCACGAAAACTCTAGTAGGTCAAAAGTAGATTTTCTATATTATTAAAGCTTGGTTCTTTGAATTTTAAGTAGAATTCCTAAGTACTCTGTACTACCTTTTCAATGTAAACAACACGATTTTCTTGAAGACTAAAGTTCCAGCTGAGACCCCACGGTGAAAGGGTGAGAAGGCCAGCATGGCAGGGCTGCAACTTCCACCCCTGCTTTAGATGTACAGACTCTGCTTTTATCTGTATCAACTCCGTGCCCAAACCTCAGACAAGGCTGCAGTAGAGACAAAATAGGTGGTGGTCTAGTGCAGTTCTAGGTCAGTAGGACCTCAACCCCTCTTATCCATCAAAGAAGGAATATAGGAATGTAAACAAGTCTCTGAGATAACATTAAATCTGATGACTATTACTTACTTTAAAAATATTTTACTCTGGGTAGTGCCTGTGGCTCAGTGAGTAGGGTGCGGCCCCATATACCAAAGGTGGCAGGTTTGAACCCAGCCCTGGTCAAACTGCAACAAAAAAATAGCCGGGTGTTGTGGTGGGCTCCTGTAGTCCCAGCTGCTCGGGAGGCTGAAGCAAGAGAATCACCTAAGCCCAAGAGCTGCTGGAGGTTGCTGTGAGCTGTGATGCCACGGCAGGCACTCTACCCAGGGCAACAAATTAAAACTCTGTCTTTAAAAAAAAAGTATGTGTGTATGTATACATATACTCTACTCAAACTTCTATACTTGACTATTTCCTACATTGATCTGAAAAAAGTTCACACTGATTGTGACTTATGGCCAGACACCATAGCTGAGACCCATGTCATGATAACAGTATAAAAGATTTATTTTTCTGGCTTGGCGCCTATACCTCAACTGGCTAAGGCGCCAGCC